AAAAAAAAAAAAAAGGGGAGAAGGAGAAAAAAAGCAAAAAAAGCAAATAATTACTAACTAAGATTTAGCATAGCAAAGTTTTGTTCAATATCTGCAGATAGCTGTAATTATCCGGCAACCAACTCAATCATTTTTTTACACATTTTTAGACTATGTGTTCATCTCCGACAAAATTCCAAGATTTTTAATAATTATTCCAAGTTTTAATTGACAGTTCCTCTTTAAAAATTTATTTAATAAAACTCTTTAAGAACAACAACAAGGTGGCAAAAAAAAAAAAAGAAAAAAACGGCTGCGAAAAACGATACTATAGTTTCACACGAAGACTGAAGAATTGAGAAGGTTAAAGTTGACGATTAAGGTGAAAAAAAAAAACGATTAAGATTGAAAAAAAAAAAAACAGTTTTAGTGATTGCTCGTCTTATAAATTTTTTTTTTTCAGCAGGAAGAACAGAAAGATTTTATCATAAATTGGTTTTTGCTGTTTTGTCTGTTTTTTTTGTTCTCCTTCTTATTTCGACCTGCAATAAAAAACCAGTAATGCAGCTAATTTCTTTTTTTTTTTTTTTTAGATTTTACTACTTCTGTATTTTATTGTTATAGAAAACAACAGGTAAAATTTAATGTAATAGGTGAAGATATCCGCCATAAATTAAAGGACAACAGGATAACTCAGATAATCTTTTTCAGTCATTCGGGATAACTGTGTCGTTTTGCAGCTTACCGATGTTAAAAACAGTTTGTTATATGAGATCGAAATACTCTGTTCAATGAAACATCAAACAGATGTCGTTAGACGATTGACTGTCACTGATACGTAACCACTAAACATTTGTAACACTCACTACAGAAATTGCTATTCAACTATGCATCAAAATCCTCCTTTTTTTTTGCTTAGAACAAGATGGTCTTCTGATACTGTGACAGACAATTAAATTGTCATCATTTAGTAACCATAGTTTAGTGAAATTTGAATTCCATTTTTTTAGAGTAATACCCGGTTAGAATGTTTTACGTCAAAAAAAAAAAAAAAACAGTAGCAAGTAAAATCTACTGTTTGTTCAAAGAATCTGTTTTGCATACAGAAACACGAATCTGTTCTTAGAACAATGCTTAAGAGCAATGAACAAAATTGGAAAAAAAATAATTTTTCAAGGTTATTAAAAAAACAAAAATGAAAAAAAAAGAAAGGTTTGTTTTTCTTTTTCTTTTTACATCTTTTTATATTTATATTTTTATTTTTATTTTAATTTTTTATTTTTTATTTTAT